GATTAACTTTCTTCAATTAGCAACAATATGTCGAAATCATCTTTATTATGCATGTTCCTTAGTAGCTATTGATTAATTTATACTAAATACCAGATTTTGCCTTGCTTCATTCTTAATTACCTCTCTCGTACAAGCATTTTCACTCGATGGCTTACCTTTTGCAAATTCAATTAATATTTATTGCTTTTGTACCGTTTATCAATTTGAATCCCTAATTTATCATTCATGATTGGTTTGTTTTTCTTATTTATTCCTTATTTAAATTTGGCTTTATTTTAGGTGCCTGTAGATAGTGACCTTTCAGACATTGTTAAAGAAATCTCAATAATGCAGCAATGTGACAGCCCTTTCATTGTCAAATGCTATGGTAGCCTCTTTGACAGTCAAGACCTCTGGATTTGTATGGAGTATTGTGGCGCTGGCTCAGTTGCTGACATTATGCGTTTTCGGAACCAAACTTTAAAAGAGGCTGAAATCGCCACTGTCCTTCAGTATAGCCTCAAGGGTTTGGATTATCTACATCAGGTAATCGTCAAATTCGCCCCATACACTTTTTTACGTATGCTTACATTCAATTTCTGAAATTTTATCAGCTTAAGAAAATACACCGCGATATAAAAGCCGGAAATATACTCCTAACAAATTCAGGGACTGCTAAGCTTGCCGACTTTGGTGTTGCTGGTCAACTCTCCGACACCCTAGCCCGAAGAAATACAGTAATTGGAACTCCTTATTGGATGGCCCCAGAGGTAATTATAGTTTTATCGTCAATTTCGCTATATTACTTTGGCCTATTTAAATTTAGTTCTGAGAAGCCTGAGTCGTGACAGAATTTGCTACTATATTTATTTTCAGTCGCATTAGCCCTGAGTCGAATTAGCTGAAGTAGGTATGAAGTATTTAAGTTGTAGAACTCCTATCCTCGCCTTGTAACAATGAAAATTTTTGTATTTGGTAAACTTTATCCTACTTGCTCATTTATTTCAAGCAACAAGCATATTAAGTGTTGCGACTATTAGCACATAATTTTTACTTGGCACTTAAAAAGTAAATCATCATATAAACCAATTTTAAGCTTCTATACATATAT